GGAGAGAATAGAGAAGGGAACACCTGCTTTCCCAAATAACTGCCCAAGGCATATTGGCAAGAGGCCTGACCGATCACGGGAGAGCAGGGTTTCTTCACTTCTGAAGTGGCCAGGCTAGTCTTGAATTCCTGGCCTCAAGTAATCTGCTCGCCGTGGCCTTCAGAAGTGCTAAGATTATAGGCATGAGCCACTTCCAGCCTTTTTTTCTTTTTTTTTTTTTGAGACAGGGTCTCACTCTGCTGCCCAGGCCGGAGTACAGTGGTGCAATCATGGCTCACTGCATCCTTGACTTCCTGGGCTCAGATAATTCTCCTACCTCAGCCTCCTGAGTAGCTGAGATCACAGGCATGTGCCACCACACCCAGCTAATTTTCTTTTTTAAATAGAGACAGGGTTTCGCCATGTTGCCCAGTCTGGTCTGGAACTCCTGGCCTCAAGCAATCCGCCTGCCTTGGCCTCCCAAAATGCTGGGATTACAGGTGTGAGCCACTGCGCCCGGTCTCTTGCCTCTTTCTCCTACCCCAAAGCATCACTTTCCTTTGAGTCAAAAGCAAGTTATTCATTCTTCCTTTATAGGTAGAAATGTAATTTCTAAGCTCATAAAATATGTATCAGAAGAGGAGTTTTTCCACTTTATATGTGAATATTAACAATTGTGGGAAATGAATCATGCACGACTCTCCTTGGCTGTTCACAGCCGTGTGCCCTAGCCCAGGTGTTTGAGGTCTGGTCCTGAAGCCCTTCCCGGGCAGCCACAGTCAGGTAAAGAGATAAGTCTACATCAGGCGAGAACTCACCCAGTGGGTTTCAGGTTTCTACTAGAACCTGAGGAGCAAGAAAAGCTAACGTGGTTTCCTGAAGCACTGGGTCTCAACACTTAAATGTGCAGAAGACTCACCTGGGGGCAGAGGAGGCATGAAAAGGCAGATTTCAGATTTCTAATGGCATTTTATAGAGGCAGTTTCTGGGCAGGGGCCAGAAACCAAAAAGGGTATTTTAATGAGTCCCACAGCTGATTCCACAGCAGCCACATCCCTGGCTCTGGGCTGAGAAGCCCTGCTTGGTGTGGTGAGTGGATCTCAGGAAGGGGAAGGAGTTTCAGCAGATGTGGGCATGCTGCAGAGCAAATGCTGAATGCTTTGAGGTTGGAACAGAAACTGAATTTGTCTCACAGCTACATGCCTATTCTTCCACATGACCTGATGTGCAGTCAGCAGCTTGGAAGAACTCAGGCCTGAACACAGAGAGTTTTGCATTATTTACATGGAAGTGGTAAGTCAGGGTGCAGTTCTCGGTCAGAATGGAAGAGTCCTTTCTCGAAACAGGTGACGTGAGGTGGAGTGTAGAGAAGCATGGGTCAGGAGCCTGGTGACTGCCACGTGCTAACTTTGTGACCTGTGAAAGTCACTCTCTCTCTCTGAGCCTGTTTCCTTATCTGTGAAAATGATGAAAATAACAAGCACGTACCCTTACGTTGTCATGAGGTAACATAGGAAAATGCATTTTCAAGTGTAAAGCTCCATAGTGAAGCATGGCCTGGTCACTCACATGCCCACAGCTGGGTCTGCCTCCTGTCCCTTAGCCACGAGCACCTTGCTTCTGCCCTTCTCAGAAACCGGGGTTTCTTGTCTGTGCACCCGATGTCCCTCCACCATATATGCCAAATTCCTTGACGGCATATACCTGCCTCCACTTTTAAAACCTTCTTCTAAACTGAATGTTGGTGTCCCCACGAATTCATATGTAAAAGCCCTATCCCTTCAATGTATTTGGAGATAGGTCCTGTGGGGGAAGTGATAAAGGTTAAATGAGGTCAGGAGGGTGGGGCCCCCATTCAGCAGAGCTGGTGCCCTTATAAGAAGGGGAAAGGATCCTAGAGTGTGCTGTCTTCAGCATGTGAGGACCTAGTAAGAGGACAGTTAACCACAGCCCAGGAAGGGAGCCCGCACCAGACCCTGACCCTGCGGGCATCTGGGACTTCCAGTCTCCAGAACTGTGGGAAAATACATGTCTGTTGTTAAAGCTGCCCAGTTTATAGGATTTTGTTATGGCAGCCTGAGCAGACTAAATGAAACTGAATGTATAGCACAGAAGTGATTACCCAGAAAGAGCTCAGAAAATGGCTCCTGAGTTGAATAGTGTAGGCGAGGGGGAGCAGGGAGTTCACAGACTACTCCTCCAAAACACCATTTCATCAGGCATTAAGCTTCCTTCCAAAACAACAACATTTTTCACAAGTCGGAGTAGTAGTAGCTAATTTTTTTTTGAGAGAGAGTCTCACTGTGTTGCCCAGGCTGGAGTGCGGTGGCACAATCTTTGCCCACTGCAGCCTCCGCCTCCTAGGTTCAAGCAATTCTCCTGCCTTAGCCTCCCGAGTAGCTGGGATTACAAGTGCATGCCACCATGCCTGGCTAATTTTTGTATTTTAGTAGAGAAAGGGTTTCGCCATGTTGGCCAGGCTGGTCTCAAACTACTGACCTTGTGATTCACCCACCTCAGCCTCCCAAAGTGCGGGGATTACAGGCGTGAGCCACCAGGCCTGGCTAGTAGTGGCTAAATTGATTACCCTGGGTTGCAGTTAATTTCCCTACACACTAGCAGGCAGAAATGCCTGTGGGAGATGACAGGCCTAAAAAGTGTAGGGGGTACCATGGACTGAATTGTGTACCCCACAAAAGTCATATGTTAAAGGCCTACTCCCAATATGCTTGTATTTGGAGATAGGGCTTTGAAGAGATATAGCAGGTTACAGAGCCCATAAGAGTAGGGTGCTAATACGATAGGATTGGTGACTTTATAAAAAGAGGAAGGGGGAGAGAGACTGTCCCCTACCCCATAAATGCTTGCACCAACGACAGCCATGTGAGCACACAGTGAGTGGGTGGCTGTCTGCAAGCCAGGAACTGAACCAGCTGGCACCTTGATCTTGAACTTCTCAGCCTCCAGAAGCATGAGAAATAAATTTCTGGCAAAGTTGCCCAGTCTGTGGCATTTTGTTATGGCAATCTGAGCTAAAGCAAGGGGAATGAATAGGACTTGAATACTGGGGACTGTAATTACAAATAATGTAAGAGCCTGAAGAGGAAAAAGAAAAAGGAATTAATTTTAATCATGTGGATTGCTCACAATATTTGGGATTTGGGATTCTAAACTCAAATATTTGGAATTTTAAACTTTGTGGTTAGTTTAGCCAAAATTTGTTCATTTGCTAAGTATAATTTTTAAAAATTGCAATGTAATTCACAAACCGTAAAATTCACCCTTCGAAAGTGTACAATTTAGTGAGTTTTAGTAATAATCTCTATTACTATGTTTTCTTTTCCTTTTGTAAAAATCTGGATTACTTTTAAGGCAGTTCTGAACAGAAGGGGAAATTTCCTTCACACAGCTAAGACTTTTTCATAGGGAGCCACTTGTGCTAATAAAATCCTCATCACACCCCAGCCACAGAACTGTCTTTGGGCTGCGGGAAAGGCAGCTGTGCCTGCCGCAGCCAGGGGCCACGGTTCTTACCCAGCGTGGTCAGGAGCAGGCCCACTATCCCTGGGTTGGTGGCCAGCACCGGGCCCATGCCAGGGTGGATGGCAATGTTGGCGAGCACACGGGTCAGCTTGATGAGCACGTCCTCTGCCTCTGACGGCAGCCTCTGCGCCCTGTACAGCTCGCCTCCTTGGCCCACCGGTTTTTGGGAATGCAGATCGAGCTGATGGAAAGTCTGGAATAATGACAGCAGAGTTTGGATGCTCCCTTTCTCTTTGGAAAATTGTTCACGAGCCTGGTTATTCTTCGCAGTCAGGTTGCCAAGAATAAAAACAACACGAACGACTATATCCTGCAATAAATGAAAGACAGAGTCACAAGTGCAAAGGGGGCTGGAACACATTGTTGGGAAGAATATAGTATTTAATTTATTTGCAATTTAATTAACAGTCAAACGGAACACGTCTGGCTTCAACTCACTTTTACAGTATTTGATTCCCAAGATTAGTGCAAAGTGACAGAGGAGATTAAAAGCACTTGGCAGCAATGAAAGAATACAAACTGATTGATGCGATCAGCAACGTCTATTACCTTCAGATCCTTCGTCTGAAATTCTGGCTCGCCTTTCTTTTTCTCCTTCAGAGAACAATTAGTTGAGTGGGACAGCATTACTAAAAATGTGTCACATAAATCTAAGTTTTGACAATAGTCGATTTCTTGAACATCCAAATCTTTCCTTAAAATTTCATCTCCTGCTGAAGCACTGTGTTTCTGAATTTGGGCAGGATTGACACTTGGGGCTGGATAATTCTTTGTTGTGGGGAGGTGCCCTGTGCATTGTAGAGCGTTTAGCAGCATCCCCGGCCTCTACACACTGGATGCCAATACCTCTCCTGATGTGACAGCCAAAACTGCTCCCAGTGGAGAAGCACTGTGCTACGTAGCTACACTACTTTAAGGCAGTTCCTACCAATCCTTGCCCAGGGTAGTGGTTACATGAGTGACACTTTTATAATTGTTTGCTAAATTGTGCATACCCATTTTATGTACTTTTCTGTATACAGGCTATATTTCACAATTTTGAAATGTTTTTACAAACCCTAAGCTGAGAACGTTTTAAAATTAATTATGGTTAAAATTAATGGTTTCCGATTTTTGTACCCACAAGATACAAAAATCACTGTTGTTTTTAGTTTGACAACAACATCCAGATAGATGAGTTCAGATCAGCCTTCCCTGTGGGTGTCAAAGAAGATAACCTGGGAGGAGGAGATTTTAAAGGAATACTCATTGGAGGGCTACAACTGGCCTGGATAGCATTTTATATTTATGTAAGTATATATAGTGCCAGGCACTGTGCCATTTTATAGACAAGAAACTAGGGCCTGGAGGAGCTGCCCAGGTCACATGGCTGGTGAGGGGTAAGGTCAGAATTTGATTCCGGGGTTACCCAGACTCTGGAGTCCTTTCTACACCAGCCTCTACCTCCCACACAGGGTGTACTTTTTCTCCTCCTTTGCCTTCTTGCAGAACAGTTAAAGAATTATCTCCTTTTAAAATGCAAATCTGTCACCAGAGGGATGATAATAAGCCTGATTTTATTGATCAGATCAGTAGTTAGTGGCAGCCTTAAGAAAAGGGAACAAAGGGCCAAGGGCTGGGCACATTTTCATCAAGGAGCACAGGTCCAGGTGCGACGCCAGGGGCCCCATGCAGGGTGTCAGGTGTGGCCAAGAAACTGGGTACGATTGGGGGCAAAGTACACCTTTTGGATTTACCTAGGCCTTCTCTGCCAATACCAACTTGTTCCTGCTTGTTTTTGCTAAAAAAAAAAAAAAAAACAAAAGTTTTTCCTGGCACTCACTGGCAGGAAAGAAGCGAGGCTGCTGCTTGCACAACAGAAAACCCTCTGCCTAGCATGAAGGAAGGACAGTGGCTACTGCTACAGCAAGAACTGGAGATGGTCCAGGAGAGAGTTCATTTTCAGAAACATTTCAGCTCTCAGCATTCAACCAACCATAGTGGTCATCTGATTAGGAGCCCCCGCTCCTGACTCCACCCGGGGTGGGGGGGGACAGAATGTTAGTCCTCAGATAAGTTCTTAGTGCCAGGGGCCTAGGAATACACACACATAACCGAATCTGAGAGCCAGTGCTCTGAAGAGTTTCTCACCCACTGAGAAGATAAGGCTAACATATGTGGGGAAACAGCAAAGACTAAAACAGCGAAGGAAGAAGTAGACAAGGAAGGGGATTAGGAGTCTCAGGTCCAGAGCCAGGCGGGCGGGGCTCACACAGGTGCTTGACCTCTCTGTGCATCCATTCACTTATTTGCAAAATGGAGGCACAATTCGTACTGATCACATGAGATACAATAGGCAAAGCACAAACTGTACTGAGTAATAATTCGGGCATTGCTGTGAACTCTTTTCATGTCCTATCAGTAAAATGCTAACTAATGGCAATAAACTTTGTGGCATACGCCCAGTAGTCTTACAAGAGTTTCGAAAAGAGGATGCTCCGGGAACAGTGTCAGAGTCAGCAGAGTTATGACGAGAGAATTTGAGTTCAACCTTGGAAGCTGTGAGATGCTGACATATGTGGTGGGGAGGACTGGGTTGGGCTGGCAGGGGAAGACAAGTCTTTTCTTTTTTTTTTAACTTTTTAGGCTCAGGATACATGAGCAGGTTTGTTACATGGGTAATCTTGGGCCATGGGGTTTGGTATGCAGATTATTTTGTTGCCCAGGTACTACGTTTACTACCCAAAAGTTATTTTTCCTGATCCTCTCCCTCCTCCCCACCTCTACCCTCAAGTAGGCCCCAGTGTGTGTTGTTCCCTTCTTTGTGTCCATGAGTTCTCATTGTTTAGTTCCCATTTATAAGTGAGAACATGTGGTATTTGGCTTTCTGCTCTTGCATTAGTTTGCTAAGGATAATGGCCTCCAGCTCCATCCATATTCCTGCAAAGGACATGATCTCATTCTTTTTTATGGCTGCATGGTATTCCATGATATATATGTACTACGTTGTCTTTATCCAATTTATCATTGATTGGCATTTAGGTTCTATGTCTTTGCTATTATGAATAGTGCTACAATGGACAAATATGTGCATGTGTCTTTATGGTAGAATGATTTATTCATATTCCTTTGGGTATATACCCAATAATGGGATTTCTGGGTCAAATGGTTCTGTTTTTAATTTCTTTCTTTTCTTTCTTTCTTTCTTGACAGAATCTGGCTCTGTCACCAAGGCTGGAGTGTAGTGAAGTAATCTCAGCTCAAAGCAAACTCCATGTCCTGGGTTGAAGTGATTCTCCTGTCTCAGCTTCCCAAGTAGCTGGGGTTACAGGCGTGCACCATCACACCCAGCTAATTTTTGTGTTTTTAGTAGAGATGGGGTGGGGTTTCACTATGTTGGCCAGGCTGGTCTCGAACTCCTGACCTCAAGTGATCCACCCACCTTGGCCTCCCAAAGTGCTGGGATTACAAGCATGAGCCACTGTGCCTGGCCTGTTTTTAATTTGAAGAAGAGATTGAGAGAGTATCTGGGACTATCTCCTTCCTGGGCCAGGGGTCACCTTCTCACTCTTCAATTACCTGACTGTTCCCCAACGAAGCTGATACTTATGGGCCTTAAGTCTAAAACAAGCACGTACAATTTGATTATAATACTTGAATCCCACTTCACATAAAATTTGAAGGGTTACTTCAAATAATGCCTGGTGGCAAAGGCCCTGCCCTGGGCTCTGAGTTGGTAGCTTCTCCTCCATCTTGATCAGACCCAACAGAAAAGCAGAAAATCAGTTTTCCAACCAGGACAGAGGGCATTTCCAAGAATTAAGCATCTTTTCTTTTTCTTTTTCTTTTTTTTTGAGATGGAGTCTCGCTCTGTTGCCCAGGCTGGAATGCAGTGGTGCCATCTTGGCTCACTGCAGCCTCCATCTTCCAAGTTCAAGCAATTCTCCTGCCTTAGCCTCCCGAGTAGCTGGGACTTCAGGCACGTGCTGCCATGCCCAGCTAATTTTTCTGTTTTTTTTAGTAGAGACAGGGTTTTATCATATTGGCCAGGATGGTCTTGATCTCTTGACCTGGTGATCCATCTGCTCGGCCTCCCAAGGTGCTGGGATTACAGGCGTGAGCCACCGCGCCCAGCCAGAATTAAGCATCTTAAAGAAAAACTCCACCTGATATTTTTTAAGCTGAGGACTATAAACAAAAATTTTGTGTGAACTTTGATACATGTTTTCTGCTTAAAGACTATATGAGCTCTAGTTCTGAATATCCTAATAATTAATAACAACAGCAGCACAGTAGTATCAGCAACTAACACATAGTACTTATTAGTACTTATGATGTGCCAGGCATTGTCCTAAACATTTATGTATACAAATTAACTAACTCACTAAAAATGATAACTTCCACTTCTTTAATCTGAACAAAGTTATTCACAATATCTTTTACAATCTGAACCGCGATCTCCCTCACACACTTGACAGCAGTGATGTTAATAAGTTTTGGACTTCATCACGGTCCTGGAATTGTGCTCTCTTCTCTCATTTCCATAAAAGCATGTTAAACAAGACAGGAAAGGCATTATGAATGATTTTACGTGATTGCTTAAGGACTTTAATCAATAGTTGCATTCTGTACCCTAAATTTTACCTGGACTAATCAATTTACCTTCTACAATGTCATGGCATCTTCTAAGGGTGCTGGGTTGTTGTTATTTTTTTCTTACCAGGCCTTGCTGTTTCACTTCCATCTACCTGCTCCTGCTTTTCTCTCAGTCTAGCTCAGTAGGATGCTCCAGCCCTGTGCCACCTCCAGCTATCAGTGTTGATTTGCCAGGAGTGAGATCAGATCCCTGGTAAAAGCAGATTTCCTTAGTGGGCATCATTCTTCAAAATTCAAATTACCTCTCCCCACTGTCACATGCAGTCTAATCTGGGAAGAATAAGTGCTACTTTTCTTTTTCTAAATATTCCCTTGGGCCCCTTCCTCTTCTGAAATTCTTCGATTCTATCATCTCTGTAGGTCCTAACATGGCCGAGTTTATTAAGCCTCCAGTGAGGAAGAAGCAGCACTAGGCTGCAGGTCAGGAAGAGTTAACACTGTTATAATACTGCTTTTCCTGCTTCAGATGGAAAAGGAGGGGGTGGTTCCTGGCAGCCGCGGTGCCAACTGAAGCATGGCATGCGAGATCAACAAATGGGATGGCAGATTGCGCCGTCTGCAGCACCAAACTTCCAGCAACTGCTATCTCTGCTTACTGTTTTTGTCCTGTTTTTCAGGGCTGGCTGAGGCACTTTTTCTTTTCTTTTTTCCCCCACCTTTCTTAAATATATTCTC